ATCTTTCATCTTACCCTAATGCTGATATCTGTTAGTTTACCATTATTCATTTCCCGAAATGCATATCAGGTAAATAACGGGTCAATAAAGGTATATCCCATTATTTAACCATTATTCGTACATTCGACCTGTGTTTGGCAAGAGAAGTGTGAAGTTTATTTTAATTGAAATTAAAATGACTAGAGCAAACACCTAAGGTAGTTATGTTAGAATTTTCTTCTTGTATCAATTCTATTTCTCAAGTTCCAACTAGTTGAGATATTGATCTCAGATTATGTGTTAAATTGCAGCATCTAATTTCTCCTTTTAAATTATCAATAATAATACAAGGTGATCATTTATCTTTTTCTACATCTAAAAATTTACGATTCATATGTTCATCTTCAGATAACAAATTATCATGATCATCATTATCATCTTTATCCTGTATTTCTAACAGAACTTGTTCTTCTAACCAACATCTTGCCTTTATAGCAGCCAGATGATCATGAATAAATAACGGCTTATCTTGGTTGGTACTAAAACTTTCTTCTAAATCTTCATCTCTGAAATAATCATAGTAATCTTCTATTGTCAACAATGAAGCAAAGTTTTTAATGATAAGTATTGTTTTATAAATATATTTTTGAAATTTGTTGGTAATGCTTGATAGAAATATTCATGTTATTTATAGGTAATTAATTTAATTAAATACTAATTAATTTATATAATTCACTTTAGATATACTTTAGAAGAGCCATTTTAGATATATTTTAGAAGTATTTTAAACATAATATTTCAAATGAAATATTTTCAAAATGAAGAAATTTGACAATCAATTTTAAAAGAGGCAAAATACTATCTCAACACAATTATTGAAGTTATACCACATTATGATGATATTTATTATAAAAATAAATTTTATTCTGATGAACAAGACAAAAATAAAGCAGAAAACAGAGTTGATATTTACTAATTTATGGAATTTAATCATTCTCTGCAACAATAATTTTTCTTAAACAAAAATTTATGCATACAATTTTATTTAGGTTTCATACATCTCAGATTGAGGTTTAAAATTCATGACTATCAGAATTGTAACATATAATACGAATCAAAGAAAATTATAACAAGAATTTATAACTCCATTTTAACTATTTTGTTCAAACAATGTATTTTATTTGTATATTTTAATTAATTATCAACTTTGATTAGATCAAATAAAATTAAAATCATTAATCACAAAAAAAAAAAAACAGAATTAAATATTCAATGATTATTTTTTATTCATATTTAATATAATATAGTATTTAAATTTTAAATAAACAATATATCACTATTTATAAATAGGAATCTAATGACGAAATTGATATAATAATACTGTTTCCACCTTTATCAAATGCTGATAAATTCTCATTAAATATGTCTGATACGAGTTTGTCTTTCTCAAATTCAGGCTATTTCTATAGCTAATAATATCAGACTTGCCAAGTAATTACTGTTTTTCTTTCTACTAAAATGCTTGATTCTACATATTATATTACCTATACTCATTAATATTCATAATTAAAATGAAACTTTCCTGAAACTATATTTGAGAATACTAATCTGAAACCAAAAAAAAAGTCTTAGTTTCAAAGCCTAACTATATTCTGACTAAATCTTGAAAATTTGAAACTTTTCAAAAAAGAAAAAATTGTCTAATTTTCATTATTCGTACTAATTCATATTTTGGCAAAACCCAAACTTTCAAAAAAAGGAATAGCTAGTTTTGACAAAAAAAAAATAATATAATACATGAGAAAAAAAACTAACACTATCAATTAGACTAATTTCAAGTTCCAGCTACATTTAATTTCATTGCTCGGTACTAATCTCATGGTGAAGCCCAATTAGCAGAAAAGAGGTTAGTTTCGATAAAAAAGAAAAAATAGCTATGCAAGAAAAAAGAAACAGATACTCATAATTAGATCAGTTTCAAGTTCTAGTCATGTCCAATTCTGTTGCCTAGTGCTAAGCTTATAGTGAAACCTATACTACAAAAAAGAATAATTCTGACCAAGAAAAAAAATATAAAACAAAAAAAATAAAGAAATTGGTACTTATAATTAGACAAGTTTCAAGTCCCCAGCCGTGTCTAATTCCATTGCTTGATGTTAATCTCATAATAAAGCCCAACTACAAAAAAAGTAAATATTAGTTTCAACTAAGTAAAAGAAAAAAAAACAAGAATATAGCATATAAAAAAAATAAAAAATGCCTATATTGAATTAGTTTCAGCAATGTTTGATTTCAATTATCTGTAAGATCTTAAAGATTTTATCTATAGTTTTAAGCAAAATCTTGACAAGAATGGGTTTGAAAAGCATTACAGTAGCAGAGCAGACCAAATCCAAAACTTCTGCCAGCTAGTTACTGCATTTTGGAGATTTTTCATATTGTCATTATAGTTAGGATTCTAAAAAATTACTGATCTTTGAGCTCAAGATCCTTTCCCATTTACATATAAGTTTTGTTTTAAATTTTGTTATAGATAAAAAAAACTCTGTAGAATAATATTATTAAAAATATTTTTTGTATCTCTCAGGGTTATGTAGTTTAATTAGAAGCAAATAAAATTTTTCTAAAATTGTCATAGTAAATTTTTGAAATATGATCTATATTTTTAGATGTAGAAAAAGATAAATGATCACCTTGTATTATTATTGATAATTTA